AATGGTACCTACCCAGTGGTGACATGCAAGTGCAGTAGCTTGTGATGTCCAGTTCCACAACGCAGTTCAGAGCACAGTTTTGTTTCCTGTAAGAACACAGCTAACATGGTGTGGATAATAGCATATGAAGGAGATGCAACTGCTGCAGATTAAACCATAAAGAAGGAGATATCGAAAGCCTATAGATTAACTGAGGAATGACAGGGAAGAAAGAGGAGAATGAACCACCGTGTCAAAATTTAAATGTTTCAAACAGTTTTCAATATTATTAGGAGCTTGTGAACTTATTTTTCTTCCATTTCCTTAGTGCTCTACTATCCCATGTAAGAAATTCCTTCTTTTCCTTTCCAAAGTCTCTACTTCTATAGTGAAATACTAGTGATTGTAAACCACATGCATTGACACAGCAGTTTCTAGGAGGTAAGGCAAATATTTTTAGTTAAAAGTGCAGAGTGGATTTCATTTTTTGAGAATGCAACTACCTAAATTAGATTTAGGTATGATACTTAACATTTTTATTGCCATCAGGTCCTCAGCAAATTCAAGCACTGGACTGAAATAATGCCTCAGCCAAGAGAAGGAAAGTAAACAGGAGCTGCAGAGAAGGAAAACATAGGAAAAAAAAAAAGAAACATGATTTTTTTTCTCTGTTATCAGCTTAGAGATGCTAAAAGCAGATTATGCACACTTCCTCCCTTACCTCTAAAGTAACTCTGTCAAAACAAATTGATTTTAGTTTAAGCCCAAATTAATGAACCAGCTTTATTATTTCAGGAGAGAGAGGCTGGCAAAGAAAAAAAAAATAGAAAAAGAAAAGACCCAGGAGTCATTGACAGAATAGGTGGTTTATAATGTGTTAAATGTGTTTATTTGCACTTCCAAAGTTCAGATTTCCTCATACATTTTCATACTGATAGAGATAAAATGCTAAAGTCTTAAATCCCTCTATGCCATGCTGAGTTGCTAAGGGCTGTTGAGTTTTTGTTATTTTTCCTCTTGAGTTAGCTCTGATTATGCCTGCTGAGTGAAAAATTTGTATTTGCCGACAGAAATAGGAGCCATACCACATGAGCTTGCACACAGCAAATACTCAGATACATCACAAAAATTTACTCAACCCACCTTCAGAGGCCAAATTGAGGATGTTATTTTCTGTCTAGATATGATCCTGAAAGCTATCAGTAAGGAGTGTTTCTCGATCTCCACTTAAAACAAGGCCTACAAAGCTGCAAGTGTTCATGCACAGTCTCATTAGAGGACTGTACTCTTGGCCTTCTAGCACAGAGCTGTGAGTGAACTTCAAATATAACAGTGCATCAATCAGATACAAGGTAGGCTTTTAATGTCATTTTTTCTACTTTGCCTTTAAAGTCCTTTAAAGGAGTGCCCTTTCCACTGTGCAACCAATGATCATTCAACAGCACTAGACAAACTAACAAAAAGCCTCTCAGGAGAAGGGTTTCACTCCCCTCACAAAGAGGAAAGCAAGATATTTTACTGATGGGTTTTCTAATAAAATGGAAAATACACTAGACTCAGCGTAGCTTTTTGCACCTTTCTGATTTTTGCATGTGCTTATTGAGGGAAAGATTAGAAAAAATATTACTTATGAGGACAGCACAACGTCTGATCCAGATATGACCACAGTCATATGTAGCTATTTTCTATTTAAATAATGGAGTCATTTTAGTAAATATGCTTAAATGGAAAAATTAAATTAAAAAGATATTATATCTCACCATCTAAAGGTCGTTTTCAAAAGTTGTTATGATACAGTGAACTGTGATCATAAAGGAAAGGAAGTATTTCTTTGAATATAACAAAGGATCCAAAAATAAATATGATCTAAAGATGACTGTCCATGGAAATTAAATTAAAATTAACTAGGGGAGTTTGAAAAAACAGAAGAAGCTGGATACATGAAACAAGCCTAACAGCGCCAAGTGACCAAAACTTTGGAAGTCCAACAGTCTGCAGTCTGTACTCAGCTGCATTTAGCTGAGGTTAGAAGGACCTAATATTTAGTGTTTGTCCCCAAGATAATATAGTCTTTTGTGTCTGTGTCATGGGTTTTTTCCCCCCTAAACTTTATCAGTTATGAAGCAGCTGTGACCTAAACACCACCCCTTGCCTTATGATAATTTATACATGCACACATATATTTTTTACAGTATTTCCACAATTCTATTTATGTGTTTTTATTTCAGGTATTCAGATACTCAGAAGATTTATGTAGATTTTATAAATAAGTACTAGAGCATTTATGCCACTTGATGGTGTCCCATCTGTACTTCCTCTGTAGTGTTTGCGGGGGCACGTGTGTAAATTGCTATTTTTTTTAACTAACTCACTGCATAAAAAGCATCATGCATTGCCTGTTATAATTTTTATATGCTTCAGAATATCCTTTTTTTTTTTTTTGAGGTAATGTTGAGTCTTGAGTTTTCCTTCACTCACAAATTCTGAAAACAGATGTCAAGGTACTTCTACTTTCAGTCACTGAAAATCCAGCAAATGTGAAGAAATTAAACTTTTGTTCCTTTACTTTCTATACTATCTCCAGTTTAATGTATTATTTGGTGTATATTTTTTAATTTATAAATCACTAGATCAATATTGATTTATTGATCTACCTACCAGCCAAACCAGCCAGATTTCCTGTTGATGATATCTTTGCTCTGTTCAGTTACTTGATTCACTGTTTTTTTTATGAAGGTCTGAATATGTTTTTGGGGAGTTGTTTTCTTTTGTTTCCTCTTTCTCCAGGAAAAACAAAGAGAAAAAACCCCAAACTTTTTTAATGTTTAATTTTCAGAGTGTTAGAACCTAGTCTAAAATCTTTATATCTTTTTTGCTGCTGAGAAATAATGTTTACCTCAATGTTACAGTCTTTAATTTCAATTTATAGTAAAATTATCTGTTTGGATTACTTGTAGATTTAGCTAGAGATATTTTCATCATCCTAAGAGGCAGTGACCTAAACTTGCTGATTCAGTGCCTGGACTCAGTAGTCATGGGACAGTTGGGACTTCAGAAGAAGACTGGAAAAATACAAAAGTCTGAGCAAGTTGTTTTAGTTTGGACAAAGCTGCATGCATTTATTACCCACTTGTGGAGGAGCAAGGATCAGAGTGGGAATGATTTCAGGAATGGAAAAGATATACAGTGATTGAAAAGACTTTATTATATGGACTTTACAGTTCTTATGTGTTTACAAATATCTACATTGTATGATTTCCCCTACAGTTGTAATACCCAGGCATGTCCAAGCATGCCATGAGTTGTCTGCTCCCTGCTTCCCCGCTTCTCCCTCTGATTGGCTGAGAAGGCTGCAGAGAGGAGAGAGCTACCATTCGTCCTTTCCTTCCCCGGTTCCTTCCCCGTTCCTCCCTCTTTGCCTGAGTCCCTATCCCTATTCATTTCCCTGTCTGTCTGTCTCATGCTCCACCCCATTTTCTGATGCATTCCACACCAGAGCTGATAAAACCCTTGTGCACCCCCATTAAACTAGCATTGCAACCTCAAACCTCATTGGACCCCTTTGTGCAGTGCCGCGATCCTTCACCTCTCTCCCACAGAGTGTGGCATATGGTGTCCAGGGTGGGGCTCAAGGTCTGAGTCTCTCTTATATTAAGAGAAACTCCCTCGCTACCAGAAGGACTCAGGCAACACCTCGAGAGGTGCCTGCTCCGCCAGTCATCCCAAGCCGAACAGCAGACAGCGGATCACTGGATCAGCGCCGGACTTCACACTGGAAAGGTGAGTGGCTCTGGGACACCCCTAATCCCTCCCCGGACCCCAGTCCCTGCAACAGAAAAGTTTTAATGCCAACTGCAGACTACCAGAAGTCACAGTAACGCCACAATGGGCCTCTGGCTGTCTACCTCTCAAAAATTTGTATACCGAAAGCCTAAAGACTTTATTTTGGAAAACGGACACCCCTTAGACCAAAAATCTGCCAAAGCCCTCACTAAATGGCTCGAAAACAGAGGAGAAACAGTCCCTGACAGCACATCTGTAAAAGTCTGGGAAAAAATTGGATATAATATTTGGAAAGCAAAAGAGAGGGGCGACAAAATTACTACTGAAGCATTGAGAGCTTGGAGATTGGTTCTAATGGTGCTACAGCATCAGATGGCGAGTTCCAATGAAAATCTCCCAGAATCACCACAAAAATCTAAAAAATCCTACTCAAAATCCCCGGAAAAAGACAAGCCCCGAAAAATCTGGCACGGTGGGAGGGAGAGAGCCGGTGCAGGGGACACGCAGTCTTTGCAACATGGCGACGGTGGAGGCGGAGGACGATCGTGCGCGCGCGAGACCGAGGCACGTGAAGGCCGAACGCGGGAACGCACGCTGTGTGGAAAAGCACCGTGCAAAAATTTTGCGTGCGTCCCGTCGGCTCCACCCCCTAACCCGTCTCCATGTCCACCCCACTACACCACCAACATGCCCATGACCCTCTACCAGAATGCCCTCTCCCTCCAGCACCACCTCTACCCCAACGCCATCACCCTTCCAGGGTAGATGGAAACTAAGGGGCGGGGTCAGGGCCTCTTCTGACAATAACATCTGGGAAGATGGCCGCGCCCATGAGGCTTTTGTTACCGAAGCCTCCAGCAGCTGCCGGACAGCAAAACCACCGCTGCCCTACAACGATATTTGAAAGGCTTATAGGATAGAAGCTGCTCAGGCTCATGATGCCAACTTTTTAAAAGCTTTGCCCATATACCTGGAGGAAGGACGCTCTCCGGAGTGGAAGCCTATTTTGTACCCTATGCTAAAGGACATTAAAAAAGCAATTGTGGAATATGGTCTCGGAGCACACTTTACTGTAGGACTGCTCAAATCATTTTTCCTGGCTTATCATTTAATACCCTATGATATCAGAGTGGTGCTTAATGGACTGCTATCTACAGTACAAGTGTCCGTTTTTGAAGCAGAATGGAAACGGCTCATAATTAAGTTTGTTAATGAAAAGATGGAAAGGCAAGGCATTCCAGTTAGCAGTGCTATTGACATGCTGTATGGAGAAGGCATTTATGCCAGGCAGCAAGACTGAGTTTGTATAGACTTAAAGCATTTGGATGCTACAAAAGACCTAGCAGTTGAAGCTCTTAAAAAGGTGGCTGATGCTTATGTGCAAATGACTTCATTCACGTTAATTAATCAGGGCCCGAATGAACCCTTTGTCGATTTTATCACCAGGTTAGAGGCTATAGCACGCCAAGTCCAACAGAAGGAAAGCCAGGACATTCTGTTTAACAAGCTTGTAATTGCAAAAGCTAATGAAAACTGCCAGCAAGCCTTAAAAATGCTAAAAGAACCCAGCTTGCTGGAGATGATTGAAGCTTGTAAAAACGTGGGATCAGTATCTCACAAAGCTAAACTGATTGTGGAAGCTTTAACTGGACTACAGCAATGTTTCAACTGCGGCCAGAAGGGGCACTTGAATAAACACTGCCCTAAACTAAACACCACACCTGAGCTTCCAAAGACACTGTGCCAGCGATGTGGAAAAGGGAGACATTGGACTAGAGATTGCAGATCCATCACTAATATCCATGGGGAACTGCTGCCACCAAAAAAGTCACCTGATTTAAAAAGAAAAGTGACTTTTAATTCACTGCCAGACCTCAGACAGTGCGACTGTGAACTGTAAGGAAACAGCGGGGCGAGCGCCCAGGGCGGCGCTATGACACAAACACCCCCTCAGCTGTGTTCCATCCTTTGCAGCCCGTCCTTTCAGCAAGTGCCAGCAAACCACAGCATTTAGAATGGATTATGTTAAGCCTACCATTCCCTGCAGTTCAACTTAAATATGATGAACAAATTATGCAAGTTACACTCACAAATATCTGCGACCCTGACCCTGAGTTGGACCCCGAAGAAACCTAACTGGTCGTCTCACAGTTAGCAGCACGTGAGAGAAGAATTACAGTATTACCCACATTGCTGACCGGACTTAACGAACATAACAGTTTTATTTGCATTTTTGTCTCCCTTCCACCTATAGAAGTCAACTGTTTTCCAGTGGCAAAGATGATGTGCTTACTGACAAATGCACGCATCCTTTTCCCCTCATCACGTGGGGGAAAGGACACGCCTGTGTTTCCACAGGCCCAAAGTGGGTTCCAGCAAAAAGAGTCAAGATCTACTAGGATCCACCATGTGTTACACCTGTGCCTGCCTCCTCATCATCCTCCTCGACATAGGAATCGAGCAAAGAACATCGGAAACTGCAGCTGGGCTTCCAAACTGGGCTTATGCCAATTCAGAGAACATCTGGGTAAAATTAGCTCAGGAGACAGGAAATAAAGCCATCTGTCTGTCCCTGTTGAACATTAATAACCTGTTTCAGACATGTTTAATTGGAATACCTACAAATGAAGGTTCAAAGGTACACTTTGAATCTCCCTCATATGGGACTGAGGAGCCCATGGAAATTGAAATTATGGGATCAATAATTACAAACTGTTGTTTTCTCTTTACAACAAGGACCACTGTAAAAGCTTACAGCCACAAAGTAACTCCCTGTAAAGAGATCTATCAAAACACTTCCCTTTGGTGCAACAACACCATGCCCGAAAAAATAGTCACTGAGATTGTCGGCTCAAAACCAATGGTGTTACCAGAAGGAAAGTTTTTAATCTGTTGTGAGAGAGCCTGGGCAGATGTCCCCTCTTACCCAGTAGGAGGCCCCTGTACCATAGGGCAGCTCTCCCTCTTTAACCCCAGCAAATTCCTTTTCTCAAACCAAATTCCATCAGCACCAAATCAATCCAAAAGATCCTCCCCTTATAAATCAGTGAGCAATATTTATCAGCCAGTCCCAGAGTACTGTGACCCTCGTACCCCCTTATGGTCCAAAACCATGAATTTTTGGAGCGCCTTTGTGGTGCTCCCAGGGGTTGGTACAGCGCTTGCCCTTGGTCTCTTAACACCTCTGAGATGCTGGATGGCAAAAGAGGCTAATGCCACTAGCATCGCCCTGGAGGGCTTGGCTAAAGACACCCTAAAACTGAAGGAGGTATCCCTCAAAACAGGGCCACAATAGACTTCCTCCTTTTAATGCATGGCCATGGGTGTCAGGAGTTTGAAGGCATGTGCTGTCTCAACTTCTCTGACCACTCCCAATCCGTGTTCAAAAGCATCAAAGAGTTACAAAATCTGGTTAACGACCTACGAATGTCACCAAAATTCTCCACTGATGATTTATTTGACAAGTTGAGTTTACCCAACCTACCTAATTGGCTTAAGCAAATCCTGTTAACCTGCTTTGAAATTTTGCTTTTTCTGTTTGTGTTGTTACTAACTATTTCCTGTGTCATAGCATGCTGCAAGAAGACCATAACAAAAAATATTTTTCTGGCCGTGCATGAATCAAACTAGAGAGGGGAACATGTGGAGGAGCAAGGATCAGAATGGGAATGATTTCAGGAATGGAAAAAGATATACAGTGATTGAAAAGACTTTATTATATGGACTTTACAGTTCTTATGTGTTTACAAATATCTACATTGTATGATTTCCCCTACAGTTGTAATACCCAGGCATGTCCAAGCATGCCACAAGTTGTCTGCTCCCTGCTTCCCTGTTCCTCCCTCTGATTGGCTGAGAAGGCTGCAGAGAGGAGAGAGCTACCATTCGTCCTTTCCTTCCCCGGTTCCTCCCCTATTCCTCTGTCTTTGCCCGAGTCCCTATCCCTATTCATTTCCCTGTCTATCTGTCTCATGCTCCACCCCATTTTCTGATGCATTCCACACCAGAGCTGATAAAACCCTTGTGCACCCCCATTAAACTAGCATTGCAACCTCAAACCTCGTTGGACCCCTTTGTGCAGTGCCGCGATCCTTCACCTCTCTCCCACGGACCGTGGCACTCACTATTTCTTCTTGTACAGATTTTGCTCTTTTATTCCAATTTGCTGGACACACAAGTTTCAAGATTAACTTTTTACAACTTCTCCACTCGTCTTCTCTTCAGATAATATTGAGATACCAACTTACATAAGGCGCGAACTCCCAAACCATTTCCTTTATCAGTGGTGTTACCATTCAGCTGATTTACTGTTTGACAAATTTTTCCAACTCTTTCTAGAAACTAAGGCATAATACAGGCTAACATCTGTCAAGTGAAAGATCAGATCAGATTTCTTCCAGGCTCAAATATTTTCAACAGCTTCTTCACAGAAAATACTGATAATAATTAGAAGAATTTTCCTTGGAAGTTTCTATGTTGTTGCTGGAATATAAGCTCATTTCTGTTTGTTTTTTAAAAAGTCATTACAACCATGATCTTCAACCTAAGGCAACTGAAGGCCCACACTAAGACCTTAAATCACCTTGTCCGGGAGCTGCTTTATGCTGATGACGCCGCCCTTTTGCCCACACAGAAGCAGCTCTGCAGAGTTTAACATCCTGCTTTGCAGATGCTGCTGAGCTCTTTGGGCTGGAAGTCAGCTTAAAGAAGACAGAAATTCTGTATCAACCTGCACCTCAGGAAGTCTTCCATCATCCCCATATCACCATTAGCCAATCAGAGCTCAAATCAGTCCAGCAGTTTAATTACCTAGGTAGCCTCATCTCCTCAGATGGTAAGATTGACGGACAGAGAGACAACAGGTTAGCAAAGGCATATAGTGCCTTCGGAAAGCTTCATAAAAAGTTTGGTGAAATAAACACCTGAAGAAAAGTACCAAGATCAGTGTTTACAGAGCCATAGTGCTGTTTACTCTTTTATATGGGTCAGAATCACGGGTCATTTACTGCCACCACCTGCAACTCCTGGAACGCTTCCATCAACGCTGCCTCCGTACAATCCTAAACATCCACTGGTCAGATTATGTGACCAATACATCTGTTCTAGAACAAGCAGTTCTAGAACAAGTATTGAGGCCACGTTGCTGAGAACACAGCTGTGCTGGGCAGGGCACATCTCCAGGATGAAGGACCACCGCCTCCCTAAGATCTTGTTTTATGGTGAACTTGTCACCGGCTGCCGCATGAGAGGAGCCCCGAAGAGAAGATACAAGGACTCCCTGAAACAACATCTCAGCCTTGGCCATATTGATCACCATAACTGGTCTACTCTGGCCTCCAGTCGGGAGGTCTGGAGACACACTATCTTTAACGCTGCTGCTTCCTTTGAGAACTTACGCAAGATCACTCTTGAGGAGAAAAGACAATGCAGAAAGAATCGTGTCTTGTAGATACCACCTGAGGATTCCTTCTGCTGTGCCTTTTGCAATCAGATATGTCTATCTCGTATTGGCCTTTCTAGCCACCAGCACGCTTGTGACAAATGTCGGTAGAGCCCTCCCTAAATCTTCGTTTGTGAAGCCTAGCCATGGTGATGACAGCCATGATTATATCTGAGCAGGGGATGAAGCACTTCAGAAAGAAGAGGCTGTGTTTATGGTAATTGTTTTTAAGTGCCTTGCTGTAATCAATGTATTCAAGGGTGGAACATAAGCTCCAGACAATCCTCTCAATTTCCGAAACAGTAGGATAAAATCTAGGAAGAAAAATTTATGAGAGCATAATGAAGAGTTGATTAAAATAACAGCAACAAACTGTAGAAAAAAGTTTGACGCATGTGTTATTGAAAGAGCTTGCAAACTGATAAAAAATATGAAAAAAATTTTCAGGCTTTCGGTGCAACATTGTTTTGCACTGGGTCACTACTTTTACACAATGAGTAAGATTTTTATGCTAAGCCATTTCCTATAATTTTTATCTGTTCCTCATTCAGTGTCGAAAGGTTATAATGCCTTTTGCTACAAGTAAACATTTTGGGCTAGACTAGGATAGCTTTTGTGAGATTTGTCTCACATAACTTCTGCTGTCTGTAGCTGTAGACAGCTGTGTCCAAGTTCCTTTTACAGCAGTGGAAAGAAATGAAATGATCAGGTACTTTTAGGACATCACCCAACCAATGCAGTTTGGATATGTGTTTTAAGACCAAGTCAGTTGTGCCACAAAAATTATTTTCTCCTGTGATTGTGAAGACACAAGTGCAACCAACCTTGCTGCAGAAATATCTGGTGGCAGGTCAATCCCACCTCTCATGTATAACTCAAAGAAAGAGGCGGACATAGAAAAACATCTTCCAAGAGCTACTTTTTCTGCTTTCAGAAAAGAATTTTTTGTATTTGATTCTTCTTTTTCCAAGAAGAAAAATAACCTTTTCAAGCTCACTGCAGTATCCAATTTACCTCATGTGTTCCAGGTCAGATCTTCAGCTCTTCGTTGATATTGTCTTACCTCCTTTCAGGCACCCCCTATCCACTAGTTAGGACATCCATGGAATATACATGAACTCAGATGAACTAGATTTACAGATTAATGTGAGATGATATGGAATTGTGTTTAAATGCTTTCTTTAAATGAATCATGGCAGATAACAGCTCCATGTCGTGATAATCAAACCAGGTCACCGTGGGCAGTAGAAAATCGTTTGTCGCCTTGTTAGAGCTTGTGACAAATTTGTTCTTTAGTTGTACTTGGGCTTTGTTGCATTTAATTAATATCTCAATATTTGCAATTATTTTACAGCAGAAAATGCTTTGAGTGGTAATATTTAGTATAAGAGAACATAGCAGTCAAATTTAACCTAGAATCCAAAGTTACCTGCAACACTGCAGCTTGTGAAGCATTTATTTTTATTCTAACTAAATAAAGAGAGCCACAGATTATGATAAATCTGATGTTGTCCTTCAGAGATACATCATCTAATGCTTGAGGCCAAAAATTAGTAGTTTCCATAATTAGTAAGGGAAATTGAATAATTGGACTGTGGTTTATGAGGGTTCTTTCTCTAAGAAGAGAAACCATCTAAGTCTCAGTCAAGTGGGTTAAGATGATTTATTTTTTTAGCACACAATTATCTCAATTTCATTTAACATAAAGTCGACACTTGAATATTTTTTTTTTCATTTCTTCTTAGCATAACAACAAAACTGTGGTTTTGTGAATACTTTATACTCATATTTTCCGCCTGAAAATGTACTTAATATGTACTCAGAATATTCAAAATATATAGTTTTTCTGAGAACAGTGGGAGATTAAGTGTTTGTCTTCCAATAAATGGCATAAATTGGGATATTTCAATGAAATTTCATATGGTTACAAGACACCAACTTAATTAATATTTTGCCATCAGATAGAAACCTTACATCTGAATTGGTTATGCTCAGAAAATTTAGAAAACTACATCGGTTTTAAGATATCTTCCTCACTCAGCACAAATATACTGTTGTGTGCTGTTATTTTCTAATGCGTGTATGTGGTGGTTTAACCCCAGCCAGCAACCAAGCACCACACAGCCACTTGCTGACTCCCCCGCTAGAGAGATAGGAGAGAAAATTGAAAGGGTAAAAGCTGGAAAAGTTGTGGGTTGAGACAAAGAAAAAGCAAAAGCCACACACACAAGCAAAGAAAAACAAAGAATTGATTCACTGTTTCCCATGGACAGGCAAGTGTTCAGCCATCTCCAGAAGAGCTGGGTCCCATCACACATAATGGTTACTTGGGAAGACAAGTACCATCACTCCACCCCTCCCTCATTCTTCTTCCCAGATTTACATACTGAGCATGATGTCATATTATATGGAATATCCCCTTGGTCACTTGAGGTCACCTGTCCTGGCTGTGTCTCCTTCCATCCTTCCAAATTCCTCACCAGCATGGCAGTACAAAAGGCAGAAAAGGCCCTGGCTTTATGTAAGTGTTGCTCAGCAATAACAAAAACATTTCTACTCTATCAACCCTGTGCTCCACACAAATCCAAAACACAGCCCCACACTAGCCACTGTGAAGAAAATTAACTCTATTACAGCCAAAAATAGCATACATGGAGACACCTTTAATTCGCAGCAAATCACTTCTCAGGATGCACCTGCAAAAAATGGGTATTACTACATTTTATTGGGTCTGACCAAGCATCCACCTAGCCCAGTAGTCCTGTTTCTGTCAAAGCAGCTGTGGAAGTGTGCAAAAAACCCCTGAATATAAATAGACAGTAGAAAATACATAATATTCATCTAACAGACCTTATCCTGAACTGGTAACCCTTATTCATGTGACTAAAGTCCTCTTGAAATCAGGGGATTAGCGTCCTGACTGTATTGTTCTGTTTCACTTTTTAACAGAAACAGCATCATGAGTTTCCAAATGGATATTGATCCTCTAAACCCTCTTATGAAAAGCCCCAGTAGAGTTTCCTAAGAGAAATAAAGATTTACAGAACAGTCAGGGTATAATTTCAGCTAAACCTGAAATGTGCAAGTGCCTGTATAATTTGTTCCATAATTGCTGCATACTGCACATAACCTCCCATTGACTTCTCTTTTGTGTTAAAAGCCCCTAAGTATGGTTTTAGTACTGAAGCTTTTAAATATGGTTTCAGTTTTGTTCCTGAAATCCACTCCTTTGGAAAAATGCTTTTAATGAAAACATATTTCTAACTTTTTCCTGATGCTGACAGAGGTGTAACATTTTGTGCTGAGTTCCTTAATGTCTCCCTCTGTATACAGGTTTTAGAAAAAAAAATATTCTTATGTGCAATATTTAGAGTTTAACAAAA